GGATGAAGAAGATATGGCTGGCCACCTGTTTGGGAGCTGAGGGACTTTCTCCACCACTTTCCTTTCCTCCTGGCAAGGAGACCTTGAACTTGAAGCTGTTGCCTTGTGCTGGGCATAAGTATAGATGTGCCACTGGCGCAGCCTTCACGGAGGTCAGCAGCCCTGCGGGCTGGCTCCCGGAGTGTCCTTGATTTGGTCCTCTTGCCTTAAGTTCTCAGTCTCTTCTTTCTTCATTCTAGCTCTTGAAAACTCATTTCCCAACTCCTCCTAGGCAGCCTTCCATTGGATGGCTGATGAGCTTCCTTCGGGGTAGGGGGAAAATCGCTTGATTCAGAATCCCAGGGTCTGACTTCCTTTCCACTCTTGGGGAGGTCACTTCTGGGCTGAAGAATGAGGGTGTTGGGAACTGAATGGCTGGCCGAGGGGCTACTCCACTCTGTCATTCGTTCCATGATTCTTGGGATAAGGCAGCTTCCCTGTCATCCTCTGCTCACTCTGAACCTTTTCTCTAAGGCCAGGGTCCCCCTTATATGGAACCCTTAGCTGGGGTTCAGATTGTATTTGAGGTAGAATAAACCAAGACAATGATAGCAAAGAACTTGGAACTGACCCTATGGAAATGTGGGTTAATCCTAACAATTCCCACGGCCACCACCTTTGTCTTGTGAATTACTTGTAGAAGGCTCTCCCTGGTGTCCCTGCCTTTAGTCTCCTCTCTTCCCCGTCCAATCCAGACTTTAAAGTCTTGTGATTTCCAGGGCCCACAGTTTCTTCATCTGTCAAACAAGCAGGAAGGGGCTTGATTCTGAAGGCCCCTTGCAACTTAAATTCTAGGATCCGGTAATCTAGAGTGCCTCCCATGTTCTTTAGTAAGTTGTAGATCAAAAGTCCTACTGACAGATTTGTGAGATTTGGAACTGGAAGGGGTCAGTCCCCTCATTTTCTAGATGAGGAAGCTGAGATTCAGAAGCAAATTGATTCCCCCCAGAGTCTAAGCCACTAAGTGCCAAGGTGGGATCCAAATGGAGTCTCCTGCCTCTCGCCCTACCCCAGCCTGCTTCTCTGGGTAAAAGCACATGGCATCGTCAGGCCGGTTCATGAAAGTGGGCCCAAGAAAGAGCTGGGAGATTACAGAGAAGTGAGAGAATTTCAATGATTTGATATTTGGCCTTCATGAGAATCACTTTAGCACTCACATGTCTATCATTGTGTCATCTGGGAGTGCTGGATAATAATTTGAATGATTATTTTCAGGAAATATCTTGAGCTTTCCTTTGCTTCAGTAGGTAACTATGCCCAGAGAAACTGGCCTTTTACTGTACAGTAAGTGCAGTGTTGCCTGCTGGGTTTTGACTGAGTGCTCTTGAGAAGAGTGGTTTTCAGTTGAAAGATTCCTTCGGTGCTCTTTGGATTGTGTATGTGTTGGTGCCTTGCTGTGAGGTGGCGCAGGTTGGTAGTTGGAGTCCAGTCTGGGCAGTCACGTCCTCGGGTGACTTTGGGCTGAGTTGCCTAACCTTTTGGGCCTCAGTTTTCTCATCAGTAAAATCCAGAGACTTACTTGGATTTTTGATTTGGCCCAGACTTAGGATTTCACTGCTATGGGTACCTCCAAGTAAGGAAACAATTGCTTTGCACTTTTTAGGGTCTGGGTGGTGCCTGGGGCATTGAGACAAATGTACTTAACCATTAAAAAATGAGCTGGAAGCAACCTCAGTAGACTGATAGGGAGAGGAATCCCAGCTGTAACGCACCTGACCGAGATAGTCATTCAGCTTGGAGTCCTCCCAGGAAAGAGGCAGCTTCTTCCATTCTGGGACAGGTCTGTCCCACTATCCAACCTATATTTGTGACTTTCCAGGCCTTTTGATACTTGAATGCAGCTGTCTTGTTCCCTGCACTTCTGTACGCTAAATATGTTTAGTTCTTTAGCTGATCCTCATGGCATTGGCTCTAAGCCTTTGGCCTTCCCATGGAGGCTCTCTACTTAATCAGTGCCTTTGCCAGGGCACTCCTCCCTTCAGGGAGTATGACCTTGGCAGAGGCCACCAAACCTTCCATTTCTCTTCTGGCCTCTCATCTCCCACTCTGGACTCACAGTGAGCAGGCACTAAGCCCCCCAGATCTTTTTCCAAAGACCCTGTTGTCTTACTCTGCCCACCCCCCCCCCCTTTTACTGACCAAGTCTGATGAGGCTGTATATTTATCCCTACTGAATTTCATCTGACCAGATTCAGTGCAATTTCCATCTTCTCAATGGCTTCATGATGACTTTCAGGCTGCCTTAGCTTGCCATCTTGATCCCTGCGCTCGTTGTTAAATGGTACATGGGACCAGCCAAGAACAAGTCTTTGGGGCCTTCCCCTGGCGGCTCCTTGACAGGCTAACACTGGACCCTGATTCCATTGTAGGGTTACAAAGCCAGTACGTGGTAGGACCTGAACCCAGGTCTTCCTGATTCCAGGCTCAGCTCGATCTTCATCAGGCCACACTGCCCAAATGGAGGGTTTGTAGAACACTTGATAGCCGTTATTTCATTTGTTCCTCAGAACCAGCCGCCTTGTAAAGTCAGTGGTGCTCGAGTTGTTAGCTGCATGGTTCAGACAAGGAGGCAGGCAGGTGGACAGCCTGCTGTTGCTGCTGAGTGGATTTGGAGATCGTCTGGAGACTGCTGGCTGAGACTCCATGGAAAAAGTGTCTCCGGTGCTGTTTGTTTTTGCCCTGGCTATGTCTGCCCAAGAGCTCCCCTCCTCCATAGAGCCCTCCCTTGTGACAAGAGAATTAATTAAGTGAAACAAAAGGTGATTGCCAGTGCCTGCAACATTCTGTACCTGGAGCTCGCCCCCTCCCTGTCTGCCAAGAGCAGGGTCATCTGTCTTAGCAAGCATTTATGAAGCATCTGTTGAGAGCACGGCCTGGGCCTAGAGACGCAGTGGGGGCAGAGGCAAAGGCCTTGTCTAGAGAAGCCGGGAGGTTTACATGCACACAGATCACTGCGGACGATGTACGTACAATGTGAATATAAAATCATTTCTGAGTGAGAACACAAGACAACCAGGGAAACCAGGAAAGGCCTGACCGGGGAACCCGGGGAGCCGGCAGAGCTGTCCAGCCTCTTTGTTTGTGGGGAGCCCAGACTGGGCCTTGCCCTCAGTCTGAATCCCGAGGGCTCTTAGGGTGGCTTTTATTTACATCTTGTTCTCTTGGTAGGCTTCCTTCAGCATCCTGAGAGTACATTTTAAAAGAAAAAGAAGGAATATTTTCCTTCCCTGGCAAGATTCTCCTGTGTGATAGTTACATTGGCAGATTTCCTGACTTCAGGGAAATAGAGAAATACGTTTTAATTTCTCCAGGGCATATTGTTTTATTTTTGGCTTTTAAGTGACCTGGGTTGACTTAGATTGAAATAGAAATGCAAATGTATAGAGTTTCTTATTTGACAATTTCGTGTTTGAAACCTTATCTCAAAGTGAATAAAAATAAGTTGTAGAAAAGTAGTCTGAGTTTTATAACAGAAAACCTCAGCTATATAGAACCTCAGAGGTCATCTAGTCCTGAAGGTTCTTAACCTGGGGACCTGAGCATTTTTTTTAAAGATTTTCATAACTGAATTTCAATACAATTTCTTTCCTTTGTAATCCTATGTATTTTATTTTCTGCTCTTAAACATTCTGAGAAGAGGCCCATAGGCTTCATCACATTGCCAGAGGAGTCCATGACAGAAAACCCCGGTTAAAAACCCCTGATCTAATCCAAGCACCTCATTGTTCAGATGGGGCAAGTGATAGATCTCGGATTCAAACCTCTCATTCCAAAGGCCCTCTCATTCCAAATACAGTCCATGACCTTTCCATTACCAGAGACAGGGAGTGAGTTTTTTTGGATAGTTGAGGGCATATTATGCCTTTACACAGAAAACTTTATTTATTTGAACAAATTTGGATAGAAGTCTTCAAAATTCTGTTTCATAAATGTGTGTGTTCAGTTGCATCAATTGTATCTGACTCTTTGTGACTCTATTTGGTGTTTTCTTAGCAAAGATACCGGAGTGGTTTGCCATTCCTTTCTCCAGATTGTTTTACAGATGTGGAAACTGAAATAAACAGGGTTAAGTGACTTGCCCAGAGTCAGACAGCTAGTAAGTGCCTAAGGCCAGATTTGAACTCTGGAAGGTGAGTCTTCCTGACTCCAGGCCCAGGTCTGTGTGCACTGTGGCACCACCTAGCTGCCCATTACATAAGTAAGTGTTAAGCAAAACTGTATTTAAAAAATAAACAATTATCATGTATGTGTCTTTAATAAAAAGACCTTATTGAATCTTATTTGCTTTTTTTTTTTAAATAACTTGGAGTTATTGTCATGAACATTAATTATCGAAAGATGACAGGACTCAAGGTGCAGAATGAGATGGACTTCTACATAAAGGGAGAACCTGAAGGACTCTTAAGTTGGGGGCCTGCTGAGGGCTCCCTTGTGGGTTGTGTTGGCCTGGGGGGAGGAAATATTCCTTGGGAGGTGTTACTGACTTTGAATTAGACTGTGCATTTACTTAAACCACTTTGAATGTGTTACAAAAATTCATTGAATAAAGATGAAAGCCATGTTAAGGCTCTTGAAATAGAGTGGTAATTAGAATAGAGAGGTGTAAGGTGGCTGCTTTTTGAAGAAGTATTATGGGAATGAAGGGTCTTTCATCCTGTGTGTGGGGGGTGGGGAGACAAGATGGGATTAGCAAGCATTTATTAAGTGCTTACTGTGTGTCAGGTACCATGCTGAGCACTAGAGATGCAAAGAAAAGCAACCTCTTTCCTGTCCAGTTTTGTCGTGTTTTGGTACAATCTGTTCCCAGCACCCTTCTCCCCTCCCTCCACCGCCCTAGTCGAGTGTTTGGAGAATCCCCAAATTGCCATTTCTTGTGAGAGGGCCGGTGCTCTTTCCATGAGCTTGCCACTTCTTGCTGTACAGGATTTTCTTTTGGATGATGCTTTGCATTTTTCTGACAGGCTAAGGAAATCCTCACAAAAGAATCCAACGTCCAGGAAGTTCGTTGTCCCGTCACTGTCTGCGGTGACGTCCACGGCCAATTCCACGATCTGATGGAGCTCTTCAGAATTGGTGGGAAGTCGCCAGACACAAACTATCTCTTTATGGGTGACTATGTGGACAGAGGTTATTACTCAGTGGAGACTGTGACTCTTCTTGTATCACTAAAGGTACAGTATTTTTTATTTCTATGTTAATTAATGAAAGGCATTACATTTTTTTCCTCTTATTTTAATTGAATGTTAAATCAAGGAAAATGTTGAGAGAGTTCTTTGTTATGTTCAGGGTGGTGTTATATTTTCCGGTCCACTCAGGCAAATCTGCATCCTTGGCATCATTTTGACTTCTCATCCCTTTTATTCATCTCCTGCCTTCAGTCTGTCACCAAGTTCTCTGACTTTTTGGAAGTGTCTCCCCCATCTGTCCCTTTGCACCCCCCACCATGCCAGTGGGTGCCCAGGTCCTCAGTGCAGCCCTGGAATTACTGATCAGGCGTCCTAGTGAATTTCTCTGCTCGGTGATCACCTCCCTTCTGAGCCGTCTTTCCCACCAGCTGTAGGTTGCCATGTTACCCCTCAGCTTAGAAACCTTCGGTGATTTCTAGCTCCAGAGAATCCAAACTTGATTGTCCTAGTGTTTTGGAAAGAACATTCAGTTAGAAGCCAGAGGACTTGGGTTACAATTCTGCCTCTTTCCTTATTTCCTTTGTGACCTTGGTTAAAACACCATCCCTCTGTGGGTTTCACTCTCATCCTCCTTGTTTGAACTCAGGCTTAAAGTGGGGCCCTTGTCCTATCCTTCAAGACCCTTTACGGGTTGTCCTGAACGTCTCTATTCACCCCAATCCTTAATACTGTCTGCTCCTTGCCCCTCTCCTCATTCCCACCTCCGGGCCTTTGCTCTGACCGTTATCCTCCTCTGGACTGCTTGTCCCCCTCCACTGAATTGTCAGATCCTTTCAGTCCTTCAGGACAGAGCCAGGCCCAGTGTTTGTGGGCCCTAAACAAAATGTGAAAACTATCTCCTTCTCATCACCTCCTACAGAATATGAGCAGTGACCCCTTCAGAAAAGCAGTTTATTTCAGTGGTTTGATAGAACAGTGAGCACAGAAGCAATGTGTCATTTTATGTAGGGACAACTTTACAACTTTAACCACAATCCTAAGACAATCTCTGAATCACATATTGGGGCATCGTGATGTGTGTGTTTGGCGGATCTTATTTCATTACCTGAATATACTCAATTCAGCAAATATTTATTAAGCATATAACTACAGTGGAATCATCATAATTTAGCTCCCTGTGAGACAGAAGGAATGAATAAATGAATTTAAATACTACAGGTGATTGGACTTCCATTGCTGTTCGATAAATGTGTATGAACAGGATATGGGAGACAAGAACCTCCCTCATTTTAGTTCCCAGGAATGAGAAAGGGAGAACCCCCTTTATTAAGGGTCTGCTGTGTGCCAGGCACTGTGCTAAGCTCTTTACAAATATTATCTCAGTTGATCCAACAACCTTGCAGGGTAGGTGTTGCTATTATGATCCTCTCTTTACGGTTGAGGAAACTGAGGCAGGCAGGGTCACCCTGCCAGTAAGGGTCTTGAACTAGGATCTTGCTGACTGCAGGCCCAGTAGGTGTTCTCTCCACTGTGATGATCAGCTCCCAAGAGCATCTGGTCACATCAACTCATGTCAAGCTGAGGGTGACTGTAAATCTGTTTTCCTTCTCAGAAGAAATGAGATGGTCCTGTCATGGCTAGTCTGTCAGAGGCACCTTGGTGATTCTGCTGGCCGGCACATGGAGAGAGGCTGGTCCACAGGGCTTTCATGGCTAGCCAGAGATCCTTGCACTGATGTGTGTGTTCGCGCTCTCTCTCTCTCTCTCTCTCTCTCTCTCTCTCTCTCTCTCTCTCTC